CACTAAAACCTTGTGTCATGCCGCAGTAAAGGGTACCCGTGCAGAAATAGTTAATGTCACACAGCCATTTTGTGTTAGTTACTTTCATTAAATGTTAATATCCTCCCCTCTGTTTCCTAAGGGTATTTCAGATATATATAAACTTTTGTTTGATTTTCTCTGTACGGTAATTCTAGTACAATTAAGTTAGGGTGTTTAGGCTTGTTTGTAGAAATTAATGTTTAATTGCATATATTTTTCACGATTTTGTACAAGGGCCGTAGATTTTCATTTTATAATAATTGTTTTTGAATTCAAAAATGTGATATTCTACTTATTATATGCTATGAATTTTGTTGCACTGCAAAGATATTCTGATATAAGAGGTAATTTACAGTTGCATTTGATAACATTATATCAGTTAGAAATAAATATGGGAAGGACAAATATTAAACTTGTCAAATAGATGTCTGTTATATATAAAATCTTGCTAGTTTTACACAACAAGTGGATTATAGTTTGACAGTTTTTTTTATTGTGTTCCTTGTGACGTATACAGTAAACACAAACTTGCGTATTTTTCCATGTTGCTGTCCACATGTATAAATGAACCTACCCCAGTATTGCCCTGGAATACTGTTACATTTCTTGCTGTCCACATGTATAAATGAACCTACCCCACTATTGCCCTGGAATACTGTTACATTTCTCAGCACATATTAACTAAGGATAATGTCTTTATAATAATAAGAAGTTTAACATAGTTACTAGTGATGACATGAGCAACAGTTAATGGCTCTCGAGTCGTATCATTGCAACTCAAACCAACAAAATCTGGATTTCAGGTTTCTCCTCAAGTTTTATATGGTTCCTCATTACTAATTATGCAGTTAAACTTTCTGGCTGGCTGTAAGTGTATTGCCATTTCTATATTTGCATTCATAAAGATATATAACTCGTAAATGTCACCATATCTGGAACTTGGACACTGGTGACGTAAAGCATAATAACCATTGTATGTTTGTAAAGCTACATTTGGTTTTCATTGTTTTTTTTTTTTGGTTTATAGTAAAATAAACCACTTAGTGTAACGGGAGGCCATGTAGGCTAGTTGTTTGGAGTTTGACTTTAAATCCAGTTACAAATAGATTTCTTTTAAATCCACGTATAGAGTCACGAGTGGAGTACACAAGTCACTAACTCGAGGAAGTTTACAGTTAGAATAAAGGATTGACTCGGAGACTGAGATTTAAAAGTCAAATAACTCTTCAGTTCAATATATTAAGATACTCGGCTACGTCAAGATTACTGAAGATGTCTCGAAAATCTTCACTGTTAAAATTACTAAATTCTTCAATCTGAGCAGGTAACTGTCCTTCAATTAAATTTTAAATAATACTCATTAAATTCCTTTCTTCAACAAGTAGATTATCAATTACAACATCAAATGATGTATGCTCAGACATAGTTTACTTTTACTTTCATTAATATTAACAATCTAAGTCCATTTCTAACTATGCTAAGAGATAGCGATGGTTACTTACGTGGAGCTCGAGTGGGAAAAGTTTTGTGTGTTCTTCGAAATGGTCATCTTCATAAGTGCTGAATCAGCTGGATACGTCAGGTCAGAAATCATCAGTAACAGGTTTGTTAACTTCTTTATACGAGCCAAGAGACTGACTTTTTGGCAAAAAAAGGAAGACTTTTTATACTTGTTTTCCAGCATTTCTACGAGCATTCAGTTAGCTCTACATGCTGGTCTTGCAAGTAGATCCTTGGGATGATTGGTTGGTATTCACTGTCGTATCAAATCAAAACTAACTGTATTGGTTATGGACAAAAGTTGTAAGTTGGCCACCTATTTGCATGTATTTTTTCTCATCTTCCTTCCAATCAAAGTTCCGCCAAGAGTCTCTGGTTTCCTTTCTAAGTCTTTTTTATAGAATTAATTTCCTGCCTTTATTCAAGTTAACATAAACTTTCTCGTAGCTTTCTCTCTGCTACAGTTGTGTCTGTTCATGTAGATAAGATAAACAATGGGTTCCCAATATTGTCTGGAATGCATCGTATTATGTATACTTGACATATACATTTCCTTTCTTGGTCAAGTGTCATTGTGTAACTACTGTTTTGCATTCACTAAATGTGCAAAACTTTTCTTCATGTTGGATGTATGAATGTCTTGCACGTAGTTTTTATAAAATTATATTATTTCTTGAAGTGTTTGAAAATGTAAAATGCCTCAAAATGCTTCATTCGTGATATACTATGTCATTATGCATTATGCTGGTAAGTGTTAACCTATAAGCTAGTTTTAATATGCAGTCTTGTTCTACTGAGTAAGTTTTATTGGCATTCATGTCTTTTACATGTCACAATAGAATTAACTAGTCCACAAAGAACAGTCTGTATTCAGTATTTAGCCAATTTTTATATATTTGCACACACGTTTTTTTGTAGGATTTGTTTCATATCAACAAACTATTAACAATAGAATTACAGACCTACAAATGATTACATACACGAGCTCACTTTATTGAAAGAAATTTTTCAAGAAGTATCTTGTATGTAGGATTAATATTAATTATAATAAGCAGTTTGGATTTTATTTTATGACTTTATCCAAAACAAATAATACTAACACTTTTATAAAAAAAATAAGTTCCAACTACAAACATTTTGGTTATAATTTTATTTCATAGTTGATTTTTTGGGGTGGGAGTATCAAGATGAAACAATTAAGTTAATTTTGGTAGGTGTCCTCAAGTAATCACATGATATTGGAGAGAACTTTCATACTCAGCTGAAGAACTTGTAATGCTTTTTTAGTTGTGTTAAGATACTAATTAAAACTGTTAGGTAATAGTTGGTAGTTTCCTTGTGGCAAAAATCATATAAACAAAATTAATGGAAGTGTGATATGTATAAACAGTTTATATATATATATATATTAAACCAAATTGTTGGAATTGTAATATATCTAAACAGTTTAATACATCATATATATATATATAAGTACTGAACCAAATTTTTGGAAGTGTGATATATCTGAACAGTTGAATATGTAATATACAAGTATATTTTCATATATTTATAGTGTTGTCAAATGGCTTATTTCATTGTTTATTTAACAGGGGCATTAGAGGAAGCACAGTTGTCTGCTTTTACAGTACCTCCTTCAACTGTGTTCAGCGTAGTCAGTGGACTTTATTCTTTAAAGAGAGGTAGGTTTGGTTGTGTTAGAAAGGTATTACGTGTTTACAGCCTGGAAAGGTATTACATGTTTACAGCCTACTTGACAAATTGTGAGAGGATATATTCCCATCAAACATTATTGAGAGGGTAAATATTTTTGACCAATTTCAAATCAAGTACATTTTTTCTCGGTTCAAGAGCTAAAGCTGTTCTTGAGATTTTTTGCAAAATCAAAAACAAGAATAATGATTAAATATTAACTTATTGGTAAAATAAGTACATATTGAATCTTTTTATTTGAAAGAAAACATTAGTTCTAGAAGTAAATAGGTAATTTTGTGTGTAACAAAACATTGACTCCACTTATGAAGCTTAATTTTCTGATGACAATTCTACTTGACAACTGCTATCTAGGATATTAGTGATAATGCAACATTAAACTCTGGGACATTATGTTGTTGACAATGTAGTTTAGGTGCATTGTGCTTCACAGTAATTATAATAACAATTAAAAAAAATAAAATCAATTTACATTGTATCTGAAATTAACATTTCAAAATTAAAATTAAAAGCTAGTTTTTAAGAAAAGGCACATGTGTATGTGCAATTTTGAAATCGTTATCAGTTGCATTTCAGATTTTTTTTTCACCATTAGTAATAATGATATATTCTTCCTGAATGTAAAGCACGGCCAGGTGGTTAGCGTGCTTGACTCGCAATCTGGGGGTCTGAGTTTCAACTCCCCTCCCACCAAGCATGTTTACCCTTGTCTAATAAAAGATAGCATACAA